AGCAAGCTTAATTGGGATTTATGTAGGAGTACTTTTAGTATACGCATCTGGGTCAAATTTATTCAGTTTAGCACTTGAACGCTATATCACCGTGGCGAAACCTTCGAAATACCTGACATTTATGACAAGCCGCCGAGTCATTCACATGGTTCTTACATCTGGGGAATTCCTTTTCTTTTCATCCCGACTATAACTTCGATCCAATTCAATTTAATCTTTCGTGTTAGAGGCTCTCTGTGTTTGTTTTTCGAGGTAATTTTATAGGTAGTTTTAATGTTTTGCCTCGCATCCATGTTTCTTGCTGTTTTCAAGAACTCTGGAAAACGCCGTTTAGCAAAACAATTCCAGTTTAATCAACGCATTGTCAAGTGAGATCGGGCACAACTCCGACTGTGTTTTTAGACTTTTCGATTCATCCAAATATTTGACAACTTTGAAGTCAAATATCTCCCGTTGCCAGAAAGCCACAACACTTATCTTAATTACTATTTATAACCCATTATTTCATCTCTGAAAATCTTTGGGCACTACCGTATTTTTGTCTTGGATGCCTTTTAAAATCTGCGACTGTGACAAGTTTCTCTCAACTAAACCTGTCACGAATTCTTGCTTTAGGGGGTCACTTGACTAAAATAAACCCACAGCTTCATTGTGTTTGTCTTTGTTAGGATGCTTTTGGAAGGCAGCCAATGACTGAAACGTCTTGATACATCCTTCTTTTTAGCAAGAATATCTCGCTTTCTTGTTCTGTCAGTGACGGATTGGGTATAGTTCTCGCGTTCGGAAATCTGTGCACGTTGCTGATAACCAACCGCTTCTATGATTAGTTTGCTGAAGGTTTCTAATGTGATGAGCCCAGTGAGACCCTGAGGTGCCCCAAACTGTGCCAGTTGGTCTGCGCTATAAACTTGTCGCAGTTCTTTAGTCAGAGGGAGGATCGCCCACCTCTATTTATGTAACGCCTCTACAGTACTAGCAATCATATGATATAAAGTTCATCTCAGTCACAAATCACTAGTTAGGAAAACTGATGTTCAGATAAGCGCTCTTCTTGCCCTTCTTCCTTATTCATTGCCGACTCTAAGATAGCAGTTACAGTACGCGTTCCATTAGGTTTACAGTCACCTTGCCACCAGGAAGACTCGCCACCAGCGGGCAGAAGGCTACAAGCGAATTTCTCAGGCGTAATTGCCTTTGATTTCTCAACTGATGGTATCGCAAACACAGTTTTTGGGAGTCACGAAACAAAAAAACTTATCAGGACCTAGTTTCATGTTCTAATGGAAATAAATAGGAAATAAAAACACATTCTCTTGAGAAATAAAGTTATAAATAACGGGGGTTCTCTGAAACAGATAGTGATAGAAAAGGATTTCAGTTCTGGTCAATATTGACTTTTCATAGTCTACTTCCAAATCTGTGGGAACGCGCTGAGGGAATAAAAAAGCATAAATGTGTGATAATGCAAGGAAGAGAATAAAAATACAGATAAATAAAAAGGAGAAAACATAGGAACCCGTGTTGCATCGTGCAGATATCTTTTGAGCCAGACCTACACACCTAAGCAACACACCACCCAGAGAAACTCGAAAGAACGCTGCAAATGAACTGGTTCGCACGTGCACGCAGGAAAGAGCCAAGACAATCAGCGAAAATAATAGCAAATTCAGATGATATTTGCAGTCGAAAAATAGGAAAATAAGATAACAGAAGGATTAAGAACTTTCTAGAAGTGTCTTCTTGAAAAAAAAGATAAACAATTTTTACTTCTCGTGAAAGGTCACGTAGTCACGCTACAAATACTATTTCTGTACGTATTTCTGGAATTTCTTGATAGTGGAAAGTGGAAAAAAACATTTTCCAGACTTATTTTCTGGAAACATGGCGCAGTTAATGAATTTATGGGGCTATTGATATTTCCTATCAAATAAGGGGGGCAGAGTTTCCTGTCATCCGAGGTATGGAAAAGCCGAAGTAGTTACACTCGGGAACTTGTACGTCAACAAGCACGCGACATTAAAATCTCCTTTCCTGTTACAGTTTCCTAATTGTAAACTGTGCGATAATGATAATTTACGATCAAATTATAGGCTAATGAATGTTTTGTTCTGTACAAGAGCCCTATTTCCTGATTTTAGCAAATCTTCGAAGTAATAAACGACTGAATAAAGAAACGCTACGATTTTCCCATTGATTTTTCGCCTACATGCATCTCTCTAAACGTGAAATTTTCCATTCCTACAAAAAATCTCGAAAGTTTTTCACATTTTTCACCTTTCTTGATCAATCATCTTGTAAAAAGAGCTAAAAAATGTAGGCTTATTTAGTCAAGGGACCGCCTAAAGCAAGAATTGCGTGACAGGTTTAGTTGAGAGAAACTTGTCACAGTCGCAGATTTTAAAAGGCATCCAAGACAAAAATACGGTAGTGCCCAACGATATTTTGATGATTTCAGAGATGAAATAATGGGTTATAAATGGTAATTGAGATAAGTGTTGTGGCTTTCTGGCAACGGGAGATATTTGACCTCAAAGTTGTCAAATATATGGATGAATCAAAAAGTCTAAAAACACAGTCGAATATTTGCCTCTGTTGATTGACAAGCCGTTAGTCAAATTGACTGATACTTGCGGCGGACATTAACTAAGGATGTAAAAATATGTGTGCAAACTCTCAGAGTAATTGATTAAATATCATCGCAGTGAGAGCTTCATACATTTTACCTATTTTGAAGCGATTTCCTTGGTGAAAAGCAAGAAAAACCGGGGGGCTGGTCTATCTCCCCCCGGAAAAAACCAAAACAGAAAACCAGTTTGTCTTTTTGAGTTTTGGGGTAGACCCTTTAAACTGGCAAAGTTTCATTGAAATCGGTGAGATGGCATGTAGCACGACTGCCCGGTGCTCTCGTGGACACGCTCTTAATATACGTGGCTGGGGTATTTGTCTTTTTCTGAGTTACGTAGTTTTTTGTAAGTTGACCTCCAAAGTTATCTTAAATTAAAGTCTTGAAAAGTGTCACGACAGGCTTTCGCTCGAGTGAAATTTAATTTCCGTAAAACTCTGAAAAATAAAGAGATCCGATCAAATGGATTGTGGTTTTAGTATAGGAACATGAATGTCTTACAGCACACAAGAAATGAGGGAAATCCGTGTCTCAAGCAAAATCGACCGGACCGCTCTCACAGAGACACCCTCTTAATAGTTAGCAGTTGCAGTACAATCATGATGACAGCTTCTGAACTGATCTACCTTAACACTTTATATGTTTTGTGCTTTGACTTGCGCAGGGATCGAGATACTCAGCCGCGAGAAATGCCATTATCAAAGCCACTGAAAACGTAACTTTCGATTTTTCTTTCCGTATTTTGGTTTCCTTCCCATTCTAGAAAATTTTGAACGTCACTGCCTGCGAGCAAATTTTTCAGTGTTTTAGCAGCCATAATCTGACAAAATTTCGACAAAAGATCTTGGAGCGAGGATAGTGAAGACTTCGTCATCCAAACATCAACTCGACAAAGTGGTGCGAAAGGCAAGTGACGTGTCAGCAGCTGATCATGATGGGCTTTATCAAACACATGTGAAAAATAATCGTATTTTTTCACGTGTTGCTACGGCTTTACTCATAGTTGGAAATATTTGTACAACATCGCAGTTTGTACGATAATTTTTTTTTTATCTCACGTCTTTTACCCATTGTACAATTGCACTCTAGTGATATTTCCACACAACATTCTGGTACAGTGATTTTCTCAGTGTCTTTGCACAAGATAACAATTTTCTCGTTGATATTGTTACCCATTGTTATCGAATTCCCCCTTCGTCCCCTCCCCCCTAATATGTTATTGTTATTTATCTTGATACCATAGGGTAACTGGTTGGGTCTGGTCATACAAGGTACAAATATTGGCCACCGATGTTGTAGAGGGGATCCTGCAATCATTAAAACATTAAAACATAGGCATCAGTACGCATGCAAGAGTTATTTTTTAGCTAGGCGGGTTGAGGTGAGACTCTTTGCGTAACTCATGTTTCCATTTTTGTAAAAGAAAAAGAGAAAAACTTTTATGAGAACTAAAATATGACATTACTTTACCCTGATAAGAAAGAAAAACAATCCTCCAATAAAAAAAGAAATAGACTCACACACCGATATTCTATTGTCTGAATACTTGTCAGCAAAAATAAACCAATATTGGGTACATGCTTTCAGTAGTCTCCTTCGTAGCTGTTATTTGGTCTCGTCGCACAACACCGTCTCTACCCCACTTAAGAGCGAGCACATTGCCTCGAAAATATTATTTCACGGAAAGGTCCTAACCAACGATAAATTGCAATCTCCGTTCTTCGAGCAAAGAGAAAAGAATCATATTTCAGAGAGGGTTCCTTATTTAGTTGTTCCTTAAATCGACTTTTCCCCATGTGTCTGAAATGCGTGATAAAATTTAGGTTTTCTGTCTGTTTACATTTTTGTCGCTTTGTGGATTCATCTTTTTCCCGCTGATATGGTTAAGAATGCCGCAGCACCCGACAGAATCCTTTTATATGATCAGCAACGACCCATTACCTGTTCTGGAGACGATTGCTTTGATGTTACAATGTGCCTGCAGGTTATAATTTTACTTTTTATTTTTATTTCCTTGAGTCACGTTTTATTTCATTTTCGATCTGCAAGTTTTAATAAAGTTTGGATTCTTTTATGTTTAATCAACGCTAACAACTTCGAAATGAAGTGACAAAGCTTAAAAAAATTTGTATGCAACATAGACAAGTGAACAAACACGATTAGTGTCGAAAGCGACAAATTTACTCCTTGTGAACAAAATATTTGAACGAGTCCCTTAACAATATTTTTTATACCTGACACTTTATTGATTAGTTTTGTTTTTCTGATTGTTGTAAGCTGAATGGGGGTTCTTATTGTTTGCAAGCGTATCTTAAACGTGCTCAATAGCTTTTGACAGCGGAATACGAAGTATCAAATTTCACATTCAATGGTTAAACTAGCAGATTTGCCGTAGGCACCTCTTGCACCGGACACTATAGCTTTCCAAAAGCAGTGGTTTGAAGGTATTGTTTTTCCTTTTACAAATTTTTATTGCTATGGAGGTGTTTACTTAATTTTCTTTTAATAGTCAAGATTTGCTTTGTTTCGAGTGTAAGGATTCAGTTATGTAATGTTGACAACACTCAAGATGCCGATCAACTGAGACAGAATATCCAGTTTGTGTTTAAGCGCACATCTCCAAGCACGCAAATCATACAGAAAAGTTCTCTAAGCAATACACCACACTTTCTATCGGTTTCCGGGTTAATAAGCTACACAGGACGTTGGGAGAACACGAGGAAAGTTTGTAAACCACGAGACAAAGCCCTGTGGTTTGCAAACTTTTCGAGTGTTCTCCCAACATCTCCGGTGGTTCGTGACGCCGGTAAACCGATAAAATTGCGGTTTATTGCTTTTATGACATCAATGTGAGTGAAGTTCAGAAGTCAGAGCGAATGATAAATTTTTTCTTTCTTTTTTTTTGCGATGAAGTCGTTGATCCTCATGAAAACCGTCAGAAAGCGCCGGTAACTGAATTAACTATCAGCCGGAAAAGCAAAGACTGAAATTAATGTATCACTGAATGACCAAAATGGTTGAGAACCCGATCAGAAATTGTCAAGCAAACTGATTTGAAATAGTGATATGATGTATGCAATGGCCTTTCGCAGAAATTCAAGCGCAAGCGCCTTTGGTAAGCTTTAGTACCTTAGTGTTAGTATTTTAGATCTGTGGTAAACAAAGCAATAGCACAAATAATAATTTGCTTGGCCTTTGTTTCTCATCTCTGCCCTAACATTTAAAAAACTAGAGCAGTATTCCCTATGGAAAAAGGGACCAAACCCCCCCGAAACCTCGACTAATAAAAACCAACGACTATACTTTTCGGCGCTAAGATTACGGGTCTAGAACTTTTTCGCTATTGCAAATAAATGTCTCGAGAACACTAGGCATTCTGTGCAGGAGGTTAATAAAAGATGAGGCGCCCTCGTCATCCGTAGCTTGTCTCTTACATATTGGTGAACTGGTCGACCATCAGTTTGCATATATAGATATTGAAAAAGTTCACGATCTCGAATGGTGAGCCTCTTAAATTCTAGCTCTCTTTGGAGAGTTAGTTGTCTGGATTTCTTTGTTTTAGAATCTACACTTTGCCTGCAAATAAACTACTCTAACTCCCCCTTGGTAATACATATATATCTCATAGTAAGCCGACTTAATAACTGGAAACTCGGCCAGGTGTCGGCCGCTTTAATTTCTCTGGTAATAAGTCTTATTAGTATAATTGAAATCTAGGGCACTTGTTTCACCTTTATTTCTTTTCCTCTGTTTAAATAGCCATCGTTCATATCTACGCCTCCCAATGTAATGTGCCAAGCGCACATGTAATTTGTGGTTTACACTGCGTATCCTAGCGGGTATCGGTCAGATTTGCACCAATGCATAGCATACTTCCCGGCTGAAAGAATTTCATCGGTTCCTACATGATGTCAATCTGTTGAAAAGGACTGACGTTTTCTATTGACGCTCGAATGTAGTGTTGAGTGGCTTTGACGTGTACCGGTCAAAGCTGATTAACGTAAGATATTCATTAACCATCACTTTTCCAATCCTACACGCACACAGAGAAACCGAAGCCAACTTTTACCACCCTGTGGAAGCTACTGGTCAGGTTAATATTTCGCTGTGTATTTGTGAACCAGGCGGAGAGGAGAGATACGTGCACACAGTAAGATCGGGCACACAGTCAAGCCGTAGTCATCTAATAGTTAGCAGTTGCAATACGATCATGATGGCAGCAGCTGAACTGATCTACCTTAACACTTTGTATATGTTTTGTGCTTTGACCTGCGCAGGGATCGAGACACTGGTAAAAACACGTCCAAAGCAGTTTAAAAGAATCAGCAAAAAATCTGCCTCTGTGGAATTCACGTTCACAGTATGGACCTGTCTTTACATTGCAACGTTGCTTTGTGTACTTTGGCAAATGGCTTTTCAAACACAATCGCCAGACATAAAGTACCTTTGTTCGTGGTTTTCTATTGTTCAATTTGCTTTCTTCTCCACATTTTTGCTGAGCTACGTTGCGTGTTTCAACAGCGTTTCCAAAGTAATTTGTGAAATTTTTTTTCCCACCATAAATGCTACCGCATGGATAGTTGTTATGGTTTGTCTCTCAGATGGACAAGGGGTTGCAGAATTTCGAGATTTGCGGTATTTCACTGTTCATATTCTTCCTGCGGTTGCTGCATCATTTCATGAGATCTATATTTTCAGCTTCTGTGGATTTTCATCCACTGCAACCAAAGGTCAGCTCAAAACAGTTTGGACAATCTACAGTCCCGCCTTATTGCTGACGTCATACGCCTTAAGTTATGATCAAACTGAAGTTTATAGCTACAACTTAAGTCCTCCAAATCCCCTGTTTGTGATATTCATCGGAATATTTTCTAATGTAAGATACGTATACTTTCCTTTTCAATTAAGTTGAAGAAAAATTTGAGCTGTTCTGTTTTATTTAGGTGAACCCAAGAGCAATCAAATGGTATCTTGTAAAACATTAGCATGCAGTTTTCCCCAGGATTATTGATAATGAGGACGAAAAATATATTTTTAAAAAACTGGGTCAAGTATATTCAAAAATAAAGAAATGACTATAGAATGATTCCTATTTGAATATAAGAAGCTTGTACCTGATAGTAGGGCAAAAATTAACAGCCACATTGAATAGATACGTATACTTTCCATTTCAATTAAGTTGAAGAAAAATTTGAGCTGTTCTGTTTTATTTAGGTGGACCCAAGAGCAATCAAATGGTATCTTGTAAAACATTAGCATGCAGTTTTTTCTAGGATTGTTGATAATAAAGATGAAAATGTATTTTTAAAAAACTGGGTCTAGTATACTCAAAAATAAAGAAATGAGTATAGAATGTTTCCTATTTGAATATAAGAAGCTTGTACCTGATAGTGGGGCAAAAATTAACAGCCACATTGAATACATGTGAGAAAATTAAATAGAGAATAATACAGGGGCGCGCGTAGATATGTCGAGAATTCAACTCGATATCGCGCTGAATTCTTGACATCGAATTGAACACTCGAAGAGAAATTCCATTTCTACAAGAAGCCATTTATAATTTTGTTTATTTTATAAACACAATTGCCCTTTACTGACAAGAAAAGTAGACTTAATCAATGAATAAAAAAAACCCGCGTAAAACGCGTGGGTGATAAGGCTCAAGATTAAAAAAATGCGTCGAATCACAACAAAAACAAACAATGGGGGTTGCTTCAATTTACATAATTCGCAGTCCTTGACTTTTCCTTACCAATGGAAGAAATAGTCTCAAATACTCCGCCAAAATCGGCCTGTGGCAAATCTTCCAGATATTGATCGATTTTCGTTCTCAGCCGTGAGAAATGTATAACAAGGGCTAACAACTTCGAAATGAAGTGACAAAGCTTTAAGAATTTGCATGCAACAGAAAAAAGTGAACTAAAACAATTAGTGTCGGAAGCGACAAAGTTACACCTTGTGAACCAAATATTTGAACGAATCCGTCGAAAATATTTTTGGCACTTGACGCTATATTGACCAGTTTTGTTTTTCTGATTGTTGTCAGCTGCATAGGGTTTCTTATTATTTGCGAGCGTATCTAAAACGATGCTTAATTGCATTTGACAGCAGAACACAAAGCACGAAATTTCACATTCATTTGTTAGACTAGCAGATCTGTCGTAGATACCTCTTGTACTAGACACTCACTTTCCAACAGTGGCAGTAGATCAGAGGTAACGTTTTTCCTTTTACAAATTTTCATTGATATGGAGGTGCTTATGATTAGAAACTAATATATAGGTTATCAACTAATAATATGAATAATGATAATTTATAGACTTATATCGCGCAATTATCAATGTAAGAATTTTCAATTGCGCATTATGATTAGATGTTAAAATTCAACCCTACATAGATACTAAAAACAAAAAAAATATAAAAATAAAAATAAAAATGTTCACTAAGATGTAAAAATGTAAAATTAGATACAAAGAATTAAAAAGCTTTTGCAAATAAAAAAGTCTTAATGGCGTTCTTAAACTTGTTCAAAGATTGGGAGTTTATGATAAAGCCCGGAAGATCGTTCCACAATTTAGGGGCGGCTGCATGGAAAGATGGTTCGCCGAGCGTGGTGAGTGTTTTACCCCTGCAAGGAGCAAGGAGTAAGCCGTCATTGGAACGTAAACTAATTCAAAGGCCCACGATTTTGAGCCTCTTAAATTGATCTTTCCGTTACTCTGCTCTTTATCTTAAGTTCTCTCGACATTTCTTTCTTTCTTGGTTCACTTAGGTCTAATTTCACCTTAAGGTGCCGTTGTTATGGAAAACACAACACAGAAAGAACCGAGAGGCGACACTGCAGATCATCAAGGTAATGCAGTTCTAGCAATATTTTATTTCTTGCTGTAACTGTGATGGCCCGACCTACCTCTGCATTTCCTACTGCTTAAGTACTGTAGGCAGATGAAAGAGCATCCAGGTATCCGAATGTTAGCAATGGCCAGATACTGTTTATAGCTATATATACTAACATGAAAAGGCGTGGTCCTTTCGGTCCGTGATGCTTCATATCAAAGCATTGCATTCTAACTGATTTAGATAATCACAAGATATCTGCAGCTCTATGCAACTTTCAGATTGCGATGTACCTTTCTCATACGACGTATTGTCTCCAATAAGCGATAAGTGTCTTCTTCAGTTTCCCCAGAATCCTTATGCGAAAAAGTCTCTTCAAGAGCTATAGGGTGGTTTTAAATAGCATTTGGTCCGGTTTCCACGAGTACACCAACGATTTACTGGTGCTAATCCCCCCCCCCCATCCTCCCCCCCCCCTCCTTCCGCCACCTTAGTCACTTCTCGCCTCTGAACAAATCATTCTATAACTTCGTCCTGTTTAGTTGAATTCAAGCAAAAGAAGTGTATTTCTACACGGGCTGTTAGGACTGCAGCACTTTTGGTTGGCATTTTCCTGGCAGCTGTTGCTGTTTTGTCAGCTTATGCTGCAGGTGCGTTTGATTCCAATCCAGATTTACCGGAAATTATGGAAGGAGAGGCTACATTTACAGCTGATGACGGCAAGGGGGAAGTTTTCCACGTAATGATCGATTATAAGAGAAAGCTAATACAACTAACCTCATTAAATGATCAAGCAGCGTCGCCGCAGTTATTTGGAAGGCGTCTAATGTCCTTCGAAGAAAACAAAACAGTAAACGGGACGCGAATTAATGCAACAAAAATCGTCATACAGGACTACAACGCGGTGAGTTTCAATGTCATACCATAATTATCGCAAGGTTTTGGTCGGAGGAAAAAACAAATGCAAAAACAAAACAAAAACAAAAAAGAATTTCAATAAGCACAAAAGTAAAAAATTTTTTCTCCCTATACCAAGAATATGAAAGTCAAAGGTACCAATGAAAAGGTAATTTGGCATTCTAACTTAGTTTTTACTTTTTAGTTTTTAAAGCTAAAGACCATTTCGTCTCAAACTCATTGATAACTCATCAAGTCTTGGAAAAAAGTTCACACAGTCCTATTTTTTGCGGTTGAGGTTTAAGTTCGATTTGTTTTTTTGAAGCGAGGGGTGGGGGGGGGCTGGGTGATTAAAGAGGGTTGTCCCTCGATTAAGCGACTGACCATTAATTAATTTATTATTATTATCATGAAAGCTATTGTTTTGAGAGTAATTTTGCACACCCATCAAAAGTGTAATTGTCACACGGTTATATCATGACCTAAAAAAGCAACAAACCAAAATAGATTGGAAATAAGTCAACTTGCGAAGTTTTTAAAAAAAAAATCAAAAAACTAAGAATTCCAAAGACAAATTTAGGGTTTTTTCAAGACCATGCATTGTTCAAAAGGAAAAGTGTTTTGTTCGTTTTCGCAGCATCTCTCTTTTTTTTTTTTACTGTAATAATCCATATCATTGCACTTTTCCAGCTTGTAATTAATTCTGGCGACTAAAACTGCTAAAAACTACATCTTTACATTAATTGAAACAAATTGAAATCCACGCAATTGCCAAAGCAAATGAACGAGCTTGCGTCAGCCTTAGGATTGTAGTAAACGAACAAAGTTTATTTACTACACCACTTGTTGATCGTTCAGTCTTACATGTTTAATATTTTACCTTGCAGAGGCGAAAGTACTTTGTTGTCCCAGAGAATGGAAATTCAACAACAAAGTGCATTTATACTGATCTTGAAGGAGAAATGATTCCCAGGCATTTACTGAAGCACGCTACCCTTAAATCGGTAAGTTAGATAACTTTAAAACACAGCTAACGTTTAATATTTTAAATATATTGCTTGTAACTCTAAATTCGGGTCGAAGACAGGATCAAGAATATCGATTACTAGGACAATAAACAAGTCAGTGGCATCCAATATACGACTTTCTTTCTTTCCTTTTTAAGCTGCATTAAAAGATAACGGATTTAATATGTCTAATTCAGGTTTTTCCGCCATAAATCTTCATTTATTTTACTCGTCTAATCACTGATATCAAACACTAGGCCACTAATCTCTTTTTTTAAGGAAAGCGTCGAGGGAAATATTACCCATACCCTATTTCAAGTTGATAATGACACTGATGTGGACGTTTATCGAGCGAAAGGGTACAATGGAAAGATTTACGAGGTAAGATCTTGAACCTTTTTTAGAGCAAACAAATATTATCGATAGACTGCTCTTCTCTGGGATTACATATATCTCTATATACATTTCCTTTTTTTTTTCCTTCATTGATTTTTACATCCAATTGACTGTTTCTTCAGTACTTAATTTCGTCAGGTTTTAATACACAATATCTCTCCTAGATTTACTTACATCTCCCAAACGGTAGCATTCATATGCGTTCCAAGGAAAAGGAAATGAACTTCACAGACTATAAACATCTGAACTGCTACAGGTATATTGAAGAGAACGACACAATTGAGGAGGCCTTCTACCAGTCAAATGACTCGAAGTTTTGTAAGTTTTCACAACCAGTTTTTACCCTTTTTTTCCACTAAGTCCTAAGCATTCATTAAGGGTCATGCTTATGAAAATTCAACCAACATCAAAAGGATATATTATTGATTGAAAAAAATAAAGGAGATATAATACTAAATATCTACGTATTTTTGGTTGTTTTTGTAGTCGTTATTTTAAAGCACCATCACACAGTCGTGTCCGTTTCAAACGTTCATTAAATTACAAGCAAACTAATCGGCGCTTTGACTGTCATTTTGATTACGTATCTGAGGTATATAAGAACATTTAAGATATATTAGATAAGAGTAACAATATGGGAAAAAAGGGGAACAAAGAGACTGTGCTAAATTTGATACTGGTAGCCGACGAACCCTTTTATGCACAGAAGTAAATTCGTGTCTGTTCTACTTAGATCAAGAGTCAACCGAATTCGCAGATCCTGAGATGGAGAGAAATATTCAGGAAACTTTTCCCAACTTGACTCAGCTGTTGAACCAGACGACATCATTTAGCAATGAAAGTCTGGCTAATCAACTGCCGATGACCTCAAGACGCCGCCGCCGGGGGATTGGATGGCGTGGAGGGAGATTGGACTGGTGGTACGGAAACTGGTGTGGGCCTTACCAGGGTGGTTACACTTATAACCCAAAGCCATCTTGCAGGGGCGTTTGCAGTACTACAAGCTATGTGAGTAGCGCCTGTCGTAGGTGCCTCCCGACAAAAGACGGATTAGATGAAGCGTGTATGGAGCATGACAGGTGACAAAATGTCTCAGTATAGTTTAATTTGTTGCTCCCTTGAAGGCACAGTTTCCTGTACGCTTGAAGACAAATTAATACGCGCATACCTCAATACTGAGCCACTTCCGAGTTCTCGCGGCTCGGTGATCTGGTACCGAAATTACGGCGCAAGTACGAGGCTAAGTGCGACGTCGTTCTCATCGGTATAAAGAATAAATTGTCGTAGTAGTGAAAATGAGAGAAAATTTCTCGAATTCAGTGAGGGAGTGAAAAATTATTCGTGGGAGAGAGGCATTCAACAGCTGTTGAAGGCCTAAATGTAGTAGCTGTCCTTATGTAATAAGGTCCGGGCAATCAGCGTCTTCTTATTTGCTAGATTTAAGTTGAGAAGCATTGGCTGCAAACCGTCATGCCAATGAACAACTGGCATCAATTGACAGCTGGCAAAACAATGAGTATGCTGACCGATTCCTCTCCATATATCATTGGCTCAGACTTGAGTACAAAAGATTTGGAAAAATGTACTAACGTGATACTTGTGTGATCAGTGATGGAGTTAACAAGTCCTAAACCAACTAACAGACTTGGACAAGGGAGTCCGCTGACTTGTAGGTCGGACAATTTGCAGGCTCGGATATACATTAGTTGAACTTGAGATATTGCATTTCTAGCCCTCTGCAGGAGCCCAGTATCAGTGGCTTCACTCCACCTAAGTAATCAGTTCATGTACCATACAACTGTAAGTGGAAACTGTTGAGCTTTGTTTTTCTTTTATTTAGTTGTCTATTCATTTTCTCCCCCCACGGAGGGGAGAAGAGATGAAGACAAAAAATGAAATATAAACTTGAGATCGACTGTGGAATGTACGTTCTCTTTTGACCAAGCTTATTCGGTCAAGATAGCTGGATATTAACCTCGTTCATTTTCTGCGTTTTTATGGACCGACACTGAGTCGAGGTCCATAAAAACGCAGCAAATGAACTCGGTCTATAACCAGCCATCTTGACCTCACGCTTGGTGAATAATGCATATGAATATATTTCATGGAAACCCATACATCTGGCAAGGGAAGACATTACAAAAAATGCACTTCCGAGCTCGGAATTTGTCTAACTTATAGGTCAATGGACTTCCTTTTCCTTGTAATTTGATTCTTAAAATGTTAACTTCAGCACTGATCACACAAATATATCGTCAAAATATTTTGCACGAAGAGTCTGCGCCAATGAGATAAAGAGAGGTATTGGCAGCGTTCTCATTGTTTGGACGTTTGTCAATTTAATGCCAAAAGCACATCATTATACGGGTTTGTAGCCAATGCATCTCTACCTACATCTCTAACAAATAAAAGACGCCGATTGATACCAACGAGCCCGCAATATGCCATGAATATTGGTCAGAGGATTCTTTGGTGCAACAGCTGTCACTTAAACATCTAAATGTGAATGTCCGCTATAACAACAATGCACCAGCCCCATTAAATGATTGCATTGAAGGCTTATTACATTTAGGAACAGCTATTACATTTAGGCCTTCAGCATTCAGCTTAGTGATGGCAACAAAGGAAAAAAAGGTAGAACTATTCGATTTATGCAAGAAAGCTGCAGCAATGAAGCAGATCCGCCAATGCTAAAGACTGCAAAAGCTGTTGGGGGAGAAATTTTAAATAAGTGAAGGTAAATTCCTAGTACCTGAAATTTTGGATGTTTGAATGCCAAACTTCAGTAACTTTCTAGAGTTCTCGTTCGGCGTTCGCATGTAGCCTAGGCAAGCCCAGCCTCAGTTTCTCCTATGTCATCATTTATTATTAAGCGTGATTTTTTTCTTGCTGATTCGTAGCAAGGGCTTACTGTAATTCGCGAAATATTCTGAACGAAACCAACCGGAAGTCTGTTATCTGCAAACTAGAGTTCCTTTAGTCTCCTAACAAACTAGGAACGAGAAATTCGAATTGCTTAAGCAACAATACTTTTCGCCGACAGAAAGTCAGGACGTGTTAGAACGATAACTGGTAAAAACGAAATTAGCTTCAATAGGCCTTGATAAACTACAGTTATGCGGGTAAGAGCTGAATCCCAATCCTAACATTTCGAAGCGAATGGAAGAAAAACAGTGAAATTTTCCCAGTTGTAAAAATGTGGTCGCTATAAAAATTTTAAGGTCCGTAAAGGTAGGGAATAATAACGTCAAAACCTTCTTTACTTTTTGGATTACATTTTACTTTAAATTATCACAAAGTTATAAATATTCAAAAAGTTACAGTTCTCCTAAAAGTCAAGTCAAGTTTTAGCATTTCCTTCTGTTAAAATGTAAATGGCAAAGCAATGTACGGTTTCTTTTCATTCTTCAGATGTATTGAACATAGAGGCGGTGGTCCTTGGTGGTGCCTGCCTATTGGAAATCCGTGCAAGTGTGACAGCCCGTTTGTATGGGAAGCCTTCCGCCAGATATGGAGTTGTTCATCCCTAACCTGCCGATGGCACGCTTTACAAGTCTTCTCGTCATTTATGAGCCTTTTATCCTGTTGGTTTCCTGTCAGGTTTTGCTTTCCTTGGATCCGGTTTGTGTGCAGATGCAAGTATTGTTTGTGTCCCAGGATTGTCATATACTGGAGGTGCATTTTTTTTAAGATGTGCGCTTTCTTTGGTACTGGAAAGATTTTTGCTTGATTTGATAGGCGTATCTGCATAACAGACAAAACATTGTTAAGCCACAGATTGTCTTTAAAATAACGACGTTATGACAAACTAATTGATATTAAAAGTGTTAGTGATTTTATATAGGGCACAAGAAAGATAGAGTTAGTGTAATATGTAATATGTAATAGAGTTATATGTAAATGTTGATGTTTTTGCGAATAACCTAAGAGCTACGAACTTCAAACCAAAGCATGAACTCTTATGAACAGAGCTGTAATTAACATTCAAGATGATTTTGAGTACATAATTGCCTTTCTTTTGATTTAAAGTAGAAAGAGTTCTCTTTAGTTTCCTTGTCGAGTTTACAACCCTATTTTCCAGATACTACCGTTCACAGTTTGAATTACTTACGTGGCTAGCATTCCTGGTAAACCAGTTTACAATTGTGCACGTGAATTATACCCTTATAATGGTAAATAAGTATCGAGGCAGCTGGAGTTCAGTGATCGACGGAGTTAGATCAGAGTTTTTTGAACACAACATTCTTCAAGTTACGTAACGTTACAGTTTCTTTAAGCCCTTTAAGACAGAATCAGACGTAAGTTCCATCCTATCGTATTTAGTTTCGTTTTCTTTCCGATTTCGCTTTTTTTGTAATTAGCTTCAGCCCATTTTTAATCTTGTACATTGCATTGCATTTCCCCCTTTTAGTTTTCACCGCATGTGTATGGTACTCAGACGATAGCATTAAACGTTGTTGAATCAACTTGTGTTGTCTATTCCTAAGCTGTGGTTAACACTCCCCGAACTCCAGTGCACAACGCCCCGTGTCAATTGTATTGGGTACGCTACAAGAACTATGAACTCCAAATTTAGTGACTCCTTAATAAATTTATCCGTGCACGATTTGAAATGTACAAATTTAATTTCCATAGATCGACGTAAGATGTCTTTTTTCTATGATCAACCTGGTACTCATCGTCTATGGTGAATTCGAAAGCATGATACAGATAAAACCTACAAGTACTACTCAGTACGACATTTACAGTCAATCTCTAGCAGGAAGAATCCAGTAAGGAAGAAAAAAATGGAATTCGTTCCATTTACTACAGAGCAATTATCTTATCTCGCTAAACAAGATGCATGTCTAGCACCTATTTATGAAGGGGTATTTGCAGCAGACCAATTACCAGGAATCACAGTCGTGTGGACAATATGCATTGATGTATTTGAAAATGAAAGCCAGGGGTAAAAGCATGCACGATTTCATAGGTTTGTTTAAAAAAGGCGATTTCATGTACAATGATCATTTAGTGGGGGAAATGGTCAAACCGTTGTTGGGATGGAGAGTTAGAAATCTTAAGAGGATGTCCGCGTAAGAACCGACCATCGAATTTTCGGCGCGACACGGAATTCCTTCAATTTTTTTTTGCAAGACAGTTAGTCTATATGATGAACGAAAATAGCAATAGTTTGGTTTGTAGTGCTTTTTATTAATATATTTGGCGAGGATTTCCGAAGGCGACCTTAAACCGAAAAATTCGCCCTGTTTCGAGTCAAAATTACACGTTGCGGTAAATGCGCTAAAAAATTACTCTTTTACTCAAATAAAATGAAACTTTTGCATACGTTTATTTCATATCTTGCCTTTAAATTCATAGTAAAATATTTGAGATCGGTGTTCAGGAAAAATAATAGTGAATTTTTGAAATACCTCCCAACAAACATGCTTTTGGTTAAATAAGTGTTTCTCAAAAGTATAACGTAATCTGGAGCCCTGACTACTACGCATGTTGAATACTAGGGCTAGTGTACCAGAAACAACAAAAAAAGTTTTGGGCACTAAGGTTTTCGAGCTATGGGAGTTCGATCAAAATTGCCGTAATTCAAGGGTCAGAGAGTGCGTGACACAAATTTGCATAATTATGGTTTCTAACTTTGCCGCACAAAATAACTATCCGTGGGCGCAAACATTCTTGAAACCAACTCTATTCTGGAAATAAGGCATAGATAAACCGTGTTTTAAGCATATTTGTGATCAATATTGCCGATATTTAACGTTAAGAGATGTGCGTGACATACATTTTGCATAATTTCGGTTACTTACTTTGCAACATAAAAAGACTATCCGGGAAAGATTATATTCCTGAAGCTAACTTTGTGCTCGGTGTAAGGCATGGATATACCTAGATTTATGAAAAATTGTCCAACTTAAACAAAAATGTAGAACTAAGGTAAAATACGCGGCTCCCATTACAGCTGTCTGTTTTTTTTTAACACAACTATGTAAATAGTTCCGTCTAAAGGGTGTTTACCGAAATTCGGTTATCTTAAAAGTCATAGGGTTTTAACGAAAAAAAATAATAATTAAATGAAAAAGATTACTTTGTTGTGGTCATATCCCCAGTGAAAAAAGGGGGGTTGAATGTACCGTGATACCGAGAAAGGAAAATGTATATATCAGTCGGCTAAAACACGCCAGAATGTCTGTTAATTTTGAGCAGATTAACTTTTTTGTACATAAAAAAATTGTATTTGTCTACTTGTGTCGGTAGATATGCATGAATGAAAAACGGCCCCTAGAAATGTGGCAAGCTTTACGATTAGTTTATAGTTTTGCGAAAAGCCAATAATCTTCGTCTCTTCATAGGGGTATGCCCAAGTGGGGTGGGTGGGGGTGGTTGACATGACGGTCAGTCTATCAGTTGTACTAAAATGCGTAATAAGAGGTTACGCTTGATTCGCAACCGCTATTTTCCGATCTGACTGAAAAGCAGCACAAATTGAGTTCAATACTCTGTGAAAAGCCAACGGATTGGTACAAGACGGCAGTTTCCTCAAAAGTATGCTGATGAATGTTGTCTGGTATTTATCTGCTGTCGAAATGTCATTCAGCTGCCTATATATATTTATAACGTATTTGCATGGTATCGTCAACAATACTACAACCGGCCTACTGGCCGGCTTTTGGTCAGTGCTCCATTCCCGGGGAAGAATTCCATGTGAACTCTATGAAAGAGGTGGAGCTAAGAAACTCGTGGGTAAGTATCAGATTAAAATTCCTAAAACAGCCCAATCTGGGCAGTTTCACCCCTTAAATAAGTCATTATAGCAGGAAGGAGCAAAAAGGAAAGCAAGCGCGAAAAATATAGAATGAGGCCGGAGGGGTAGAAACTGGAACAGAAACTGGAATCATGTTTAGGTTAATAGGTAGTCCAGAAACAAAAAGAATTGTTGAAAAAACCCTTCAATAAGCATAGTATATTTTAATGAATAGTTTTTTAGGTGCTTAAGGTTAAGGTTGACGTTTTCAAGTTAAATTTTGTTAGTGTCCCTTTTCGTTTTCTTGTTATGGCTAAGTAGTCCAGGAATGGGACGAATTGTTCAAGAGCCTTTTAGCTAGTTAAGGTTAACATTTGCAGTTTAAATGTTCAAAAAGTCTCTTTTCATTTTCTTGTGAAGGTTACTTAGTCAAGGAACGGAAGGATTTGTTCAAGAGCCTTTCAAAGAACAGAAGATATTTTAAAGAATGATTTTTCGTCAGTGTTGTAAACACGGACGTAATGTTACCTACATTAAAACAAAAATAAAGGATATTACAGTGCACAGCAGAGGTGAGCCCATGTTGACGAAGTAAGCTTATGAGAATCAGTTCACCGAAGAAGAATAAAGGTATCCTCTGTCCGTGTTAAAGGTGTCCATAGTACGCGGGTTAAATGTAAAGACAATATGAGGACATTTCCCCGGGACAACAAAACCTGTCCCTTATAACGAGGGGGCGTCCGTGAAGAGGGGTGCGATGGTACAACTGTGATATTTTTTTCGGAACCCGTCTAATTATAGGACAAAAATGCGTACAATTAAATAAGAATTTAAACTGGTTCCATAACCGGCTTGGGATCGGTCTGGAAATTGTCTTTGCTATAGATAAAACGCTGGCGACCATTGAGCTTCCGGCGCTCCTTCGTTTGAATGAGACTCGGATTAAAAAGTCGCATTTTTCTGTGACATATCACAAAACAAGAATTGATTCAGAACTGTTTTGTGGTTGCATCCCACTGCTAACATTAATAGAGAGGTATCCCTGATGTCACCTATTGATGTTAACGTGCTAACCAGATGCTTGTTAGCTCTTGAAACGAGGTTCTTTTGCTTCCGTGGCTGGTACATTAAAATAACAAAAGGCTTGCTTGTAAACAGATATCTTTCCTATATTCTGCAGCAATTTTTAGTTAAATTAGTTGAAAATGGAATGTCTTTGTCCAGCTGTAAAAGTTCATACGGCAATCCACTATTTTGAAAACCAAAACAACCTGTGTAACGTCGAAAAATTTAGATTTCGTCTGATAATAATCACGTTACAGAAGTGCCATATTTCACGTTACTAAATTGCCCTAAAGTTACCGAAGTGACACCACGTTACCAAAAGGCCCGAAAGTTACTAAAGTGCCCTACACCACGTTACCAAAAGGCCCGAAAGTTACTAAAGTGCCCTACACCACGTTACAAAAGTGCCCTGAAGGTACCAAAGTGCCCTATTTTAGGTTACCAAAGTGCCCATCAATCTCTCTCTCTCTCTCTCTCTCTCTCTCTCTCTCTCTCTCTCTCTCTCTCTCTCTCTCTCTCTCTCTCTCTCTCTGCAGATTGAAAATAGGGCATTTTTGGTAACTTCAAGTCTCTTTCGGATATCTTGCGTAAATAACATGATTACATCGTCCTGAGTAGTTCAAACGCTTTTATGCAGAATCTACAACACTCTGTTAGAATCTTGCGGTCAACCGTATCAAAAACAATTTTTTACAAATTTTTAAACATTTCAAAGGTTACGAAACTTCCCTACTCCGTGGAAAGTACTTTTTAATTGCATTTCAACTCAAATTTTCAATGATAAGATAGATATCCGACTCGTTTAGCATATTTTGGGCATTCACTCACTTTCCACAACTAAATATTTTGGGAGCAATTCACAGCCCAAAAAAATTTAGTAAGATTGTATGTTTTGTCATAGACAAGAGCTCCCTTCGAAACCTTTCAACATTTTAAAACTTAACTTTGCTGCTCTAAAGTCAAATTCTCACCTAACTTGTAACGATTGAGGTTTAAAACGGTTTATATGAAAACAACATTTTTTTTCCTAATTGTGGCACACAAAAAAACTTAAAGAAAAATTTTTTTCGGGGATATTTTGGAAGTTTGAAGGGAAGAGACTTTGCCGGGTGACATAAGTGCCCTATTGTACTAATTTTGAATGATAACAAATTCATGATTACCTAAAGCCCTTGAATAAACGTTATGTGTCTGAGTTATTTATTGAAAAAAAAGCTTTTATCTCACAGCACTTGCGTTACCAAATGTTTTTTCCGTTGGCGAGAAGGAGTGATGGATATTTGCAACGAGAATTAGGGCACTTTTGTAACGATCAACGTATGCCACATAAACTGTTGATAACTCTGTTGGTGGCTTTCCAACAAATAAAACAATTCATGTTATTCGTGTTTCTATAAAAAAAACCCGTTTAACTCATGTGAATCATTGTTCTTTTATTTGATGACAGTCTTCATAGGGGTATTCCCAAGTGGGGTGGGTGGGGGTGGTTGACATGACGGTCAGTCTATCAGTTGTACTAAAATGCGTAATTGTTCATTTATCTTTGCCTGAATGTAGCGAAGCGTAATGAAACAAAAGA